ACTTGAGATAGCTTTTATTTTGTACCCGCTAAGAGTATTATTGATCGTCATTGTGTGTGTATGTGGTTTTTTAAAAGATTTTTTGAATATGAATAGAGGAAAAAATAAATTTATATATTAAATATAAAAATTTAAAAATCATAGTTTCTTCATTTTTGGGTAGTCCTAACTCCAAACATGCATCCTAATCAAGGTCTATGACCGCATCAAATTTTTTTTTTGTGGTTAGAACAAGGAGGCCTCAAGGCTAAAAATAGAAATCAAAGAATTAAATATGTTATATATAATTCTCTATATATGTCTTTTTAGTATCATTTTTAATTAAAACATGATGTGTGTCACTAGAGAGAGAGATAGATAAATAGGCATACAGACACCTAGTACTGTGATGAGTTATACTATTATTGAATTATATATACTGGATCTATGATTTGATTAATTGGAAGTATTTCTAGTTGAGATGACCACGTTGTAAACGTGGCTGACTGCCATTTCAAATAATTCAATAATTGATCACAACCTTTTAAAATGACTTCAATTTCCATTACTATTATACATGAGTAGTCAGTCATTGACTGACCAGGTCTTCGTCTTGTGTTGCGAGTTTGAGTTGCCTGAGTCGACGCAGTGTTGAAACCGCAAATTAAAGGGCCCTCACGTACGCGTCCAATTTGAAACAAAACACATCTTAATTAATTATCTCTTCGGTCCTAAATATAATACCCTTATACTAGTATTATAAGTGTCTTATATTCAGGACCTTTTCTATTCAATATCATACACACTTAATTACATATGGATTACCCAGAGGCCATGCAGATTTATATTAAAAAAAAAACTTCTAGAAGAGAAGCGATAAATTTGTGGAGAGAATTTTTTATCATTTAATATACTACCTCCGGTTTTAATTATAAGAACTAGTTGACTAATTTGAGAAAATTAAGAAAATAAGTTAAGTTAGTTATTTGTAATAAATAGGTATTGTCTTTTCTAAAATATCCTTGCTAATTAAGAGTATTAGCTAGAACTACCATTATTGGGAGGAATATCTTGGAAAAAATGTATAAATATGAGAGACAAAGTGGATTAGGATCTTATAATTAGGATCAAAATAAAAGTCAAACAAGGTCTTATATTAAGGACCAAAGGTAGTATTTCAATAAAGAGTCTTTTAAACACCAGAGTCATGACTTTGTAAGCCACATATATATAATTTAATACCAATCTGGGGGTGGGTTTTGGAGTAATAACTAACAATAATAATGAGAGACCAATGGGCTGTGACCAGAGAAGACTTCGATCGTCAACGGGTAAATACAAATGAGAAAATTATTATATATATATATATATATATGCATTATATTCTTCTCCTGAATCTGATTAGAAGAATAATACAGTGAGAGAAACGGCAAGCCAAGTTGGGAAAGTCCGAAACGTGTCCTTCACTTAAAAACCAATTTAATAATGTAATGAGTGGGATTTGGTTTACAATTATTAATATAAGGAGTATTATTTACTTCGACGTTGAGATAAGATGAGGGATAGTGGGAAGTGATTAAGCAAACAATAATAAATGTAAATTAAAGAGAGGAAAAGGAAACGGAAAAGGAGGGGTTGTAGATTCTATGATTCTATGGGCTGTTAGGGTATGGAAAGAACAAAGGAATCCTAATACTTCCTCTGTTTTTATATATAAGCTTTATTTTTTAATATGAGTTTGATCTAAAATATAAACTTTATTTTTGAGTTTGTCTAAATATTTATTACTTTTCTTCCTATTTTACTTTTAGTTGACTAAGTATTCTTTCACACACATTAATATTACTTCCATATATTCTCTTTCATTATTTTTTAATTTTAACTAATTTAAATTACTAATTTATTAAACGTGATACGATTATCTGAATTTTATATATAGGACCGAAGGTAGTGTTGTCCTTAGCGTGTACGTTGGGCAGTGGAAGGTGACAAGGCACCGAGTCTTCCTTGGAGGGTCCCAATAGCCTTAATTTTAACCATTTGCATTGCTTCTTCTTTTTATTCTCACTCTGATTCCTCAATGTGACAAGGGTTGTTTCTCTTTGGGGTCACACAGATTTAGGGCACTGTAAAAATTTGAAAACTAAAAAAAGTCCAAACTTTCAACTAATTAATTATTTCGTGTAAGTAATTGTTCTTCATTTCGTGTTCCATTTGATCATATTTGTTCATGTTATCAATATTAATAAGACATAGGCATAACGCATTTGCATGATTTTTGAGACATTGAATTTTGCTCATGATTCGTGAAGAAGTCAACTTATTACAATTCTTGTAGTAGTATCTTTTATTAATATATGTATTATAGAAATAAATTGTTATGCATTATATTTTCCATTAAAAAAAACAATATGAAAACTATCCTACGAAATAGAACTTTGCATGTACAGTATGAGCACTCCCTTTGAAATATAAATCACTTCCAATCATTTATCTGAAATCAAGGAATAACGAATGGTCATTAAAGTGGTATTAAATTGAAAGTTTTTCAACCTTATTCGTATTCAATTATATCTCGCATTTATTCTTTTTTCTCAACATTTGATATGTACCGCCAGTAAATATAATTAAAATTGACAAATAATAACTGCTAACTCGAAGTAATTTATATCATGCACCAAGATAATTCTTTTTATGGAAAGGGATCTATTTTTTGGCCTTTTGGATTGGAGGGAGTATTACTCTAAACACGTCAGCCGTAACCATTTGGTCTGCTTCATTGCTATGTTATCACCTCTTCATCGTCCAGCTGCGAACAAATCATTGTATTTTAAAACAGCAACAAATCATATTTTTATCGTTTTGTGTTAAAGTTGGCAGCTTTATTCAACACCAAACGGTTCCCACTTAATTATCACCCACATCGAAATTTTAAAACTTCATAAATTTGCTCCAATTATTCTCTCTCCCCTCAGCACACAAACAGGAAGCGGGGAATTCAGTGACACGCGAATACACGCAACGCAGTTTACGAGAAAGTTTGGAGCCAATGATTCAACAATTCAACGGCCGTGGACTTTCCACGTCACCAAAGATGTGGGCCTCGATCATGATCCCATTGGACGGACCCTTGACCTACATGCTCTCGTGGGCCCCACCAACCTTATCTTGTAATGGGCCCACATTGCATATGTCACGTGACCCTACTCCACGCGCCTTAGTATTACATTAAAAAGCATAGTATACGGAATCTCGAGAGGAGCTGCCATGCTGATGAATAAAATTTCATTTCTTGTTGGAGAATCGAATTTGTGAGGACCTATTTTAATTGCCGGAGCAGCAAATCGGATTATTTTTAAGTTGGATTCTCCCTGTATTTCTCGATTTGAATTAATAATTTGGGCATCAAAACTTAATAATACAAAAATATTAATTTTTCTTCTTTCCTTTCTAAATAATAATAATAACAACAATGGTTAGGAGCATATGTTTCATTCATTGAACCATGCACTCTAACGGATAATATGAAATATGTACACCAATCATATCAGATTATAACATAAAGTGGGACCACGTGATGAAGCAATGTTGAGAGAATGAAAGAAACATGTGTAAGATTTAGAGAGTGTTCTTTTAGTATGGTAGTTTACAGTTACTGGTTGTATTATCCAACGTGATAAGAGACTTTTTTTTTTCTTTACGTAATATTTAGCCTCCCAAAGTGAAAAAAAAAAGCCTCATACTACTAGTAACATCCATCTTTTTTTTGTATTGGCACCTGGTATCATGAGCCAGGCTATCTTTTAGGCACAACAACGGACTCAGACTAATTCAGATCGAGACATGATATGAACCATTAAAGTTGGCGTCCCTAGTCCCCAAGATGCTGCGTTCCCACATCTTAAACTTAAGACCTGTGGTTAAGCTAAAACAGTCCCAACAAACTAATCTAATGGTTGGGGTTTAGTAACATCCATCTTTATCTCTCTTGTCGAATATAATTAGGTGATGCGAAAATGAAGACAACATGATAACATATCACTCAATAATTACTGCTTTTTATGCTTTCATAAAACATGACTTAAATCATTAAACGTTTTCATCATTATCGTTAAAAAAGATTTAGAATACATGTGTAAATTGAGATTTAACTAGTTAGATAATTTTACATAACAAAACAACCCCCACAAGCCGCTTTATTTTAATTCATTTCTCGGTCTTGATGCAATGTATGAGATCATCAACTTTAATCATTTTTATATGACCCAAACATATATACTGGATATATATAACGCTCTCTTTTAAGATGAATACATTTGAAGAGCTTGCTTTGCTTTGTGAAAAGAAAATGCTTAACTTGAGAACTTGATCATAAGCTGTGGGTTTGTGGGAAAAGAAGGAAAGAATGAGAATGATTAGTCATTAGCTGATAAAGTAGAGGGGGTCAGTGATATTGTGCGAGGTGTACCACAGCGGTAAGGTGGGAAGTGGATACATCCGCCGCCTAACTGTCTTACTTTAAGAAATTAACCTTCAAAAACTCAAATCCCAAATCCCACTCTCTCAGATTCAAATTAATTATAATCAGTTTTCATGTTGCCAAAATGCTCTCACAAGTCACACCCCTCTAATAATCCGTTCTTTAAAAAGTAAGCTCTGAAAGATTTATGGTATAGATCCCAAATCACGAATTAATTCAGATATAAATGAAAAGTAGTGATTTTTTCTCAATATCTATTCTTCTTTTATTCACAAAATTTCGAATCCAAAATACTTGAATATGTACGCCAGCTTTCTATATGTTAATGGCCTTACGTTGTAAATTATCTTCTCATCATCACCATAATCTCACACTTTAACTATACACAGATCCAATGTATAAAAAATATTCACAACTCCATATCCAAACAAGAGACTTTTGATGCCCCCCCAATCTGAATGACGCCATATATCACCTAATTATCAGCCCCACCACCACCGCTCTCGTCTTCTTCTTCACTCTCTCTATAAATACCATTATCTCCGTCTCCTTCCAATCATCCTTTTCTCACAAACCCATAATCGATCTCATCTCAATCAGTCATCTTTCCTTCTTCTTCTTCTCCGTCCATCCTTCTCTCTATCTCTTAACAGAAACTGATATGGCTGCTTACAGAGAACCCATGAACGTGGGAGCCAAATCGCCCGAGCCCGCTCAGCAGCACTCGCCCTGGCATTCTCCGGTGCCCTACTTGTTCGGAGGTCTTGCTGCTATGTTGGGTCTCATCGCTTTCGCTCTCTTGATTCTCGCTTGCTCCTACTGGAAGCTTTCTGGTTTCCTCGACGAGAGCCGCGAAGGTGAAAGGGACCTGGAGGCCGGTGAAGCCAAGCTCGACGGAACCCAGAAACCCTTCGCTCCGGTGGCTTGTGAGCCCAAATTCTTGGTCATCATGCCCGGACAAGAGAGGCCTACATGCTTGGCCACGCCGGCGTTCTCGAGCCGGTCATCTTCCTTCGCTGGCGGCAGTTCCAGCGGCACTTGTACCTGCGACGACAGCGACAGGTCGGGGGAAATGGTCGCGACTCTGAAACAAGAGAATCAGAGTGGAAGCCGTGATCAGGAACAGCCCGGAAACACGGCGACCCAGAACACTTCAAACGACCAGAACTGTTAATCTTCAGAATCGAGAAGCTCGCGTACAATTTTTTGGACCGTTCCTATATAGGTTTTTGTATACATACACGAGCGCGCATGCGGCTGGCCAGATTGCTAACTTGAATGGAAGCTTTAAAATTTTCTCCTTTAGCATGTAAGTCGTTCGGGAAAGTTGTAAATTTCGTTGAGGTGGAATGGAAAATTTACCAGTTTCACAAGTTTGAATTTGGTTTCAGTGAATGGATTTTCATAGCTAGGCTAGCTAGTTTTTCACAGGAAAGGAAAAGGTTTCTGTGCAAAATCTGAGAGAATTGAGACGTGAATGGATACGTGGAGGGGGACAATTGTGAGGAATATAAAGTTGAAGGTACGTGTAAAGCCATGGAAACACATGTCTCATGCGGCGGGAAGAAACTGCAAGGAAACAAGAGTTCACTAATTTTTTGTTTTTTTTTTGCCTGGAGAGTTCACTAATTAATAAACCCTACAATTTACGAAGTTTCCTATTATATATATTCTGTTTTTTGGTTGGGTTTCTCAGGGAAGTGTCTGCCATTATCTGAAGCGGTGGCATTTTGATTATGCAGTACATAGTAGAAAAGTGAGGGGGTTGGTAAAAAGCAATTTAGTTTCATCCTGATTTACTTTGGATCTCTTAGACATGCTTTGGGCGATAATAGTGTGTATCCTTTTCAAGATTCAGGAGTTAAATGAGATAGGGGTGAGACTTTCAGGCTAAATGATGAGGACAGAAAACGCAATTCTGATATGTGAGTCCCACAACTATCTCTTCCCATCAAGTTAACTTAGAGGTATGCACGTTCAAATACTGGGCTCTTTTTAACAAGCACAACTTTTTTTTTTTTTTTTACCGGATGCAATCTTATTTGATCCATTGTCAGAATATTAAATATGAACATTTATCTTATCCAAGGTAGTACCACGATATTAAATATATTAATACATTTCCCAATAAAATTTGAATTTTGATTCATCATGTTATTGAAAAATTACATTCTTTCCACTACCCTAGTTCCCGTTAGAAAGTATAGGGGGTTTTATTTATTTTGATGGTGGCTGATGCATCACCAAGGTGATAAAATGGCATCGGTGGTGGAGTATTATGGGGCAATAACTAGGCGACAAAATAGTTGGCTATCAATTTGGATTCTCTCTAAATGTTAACTTTCTCAACAAAGCACCACTTATAATGTTTCACTACATAGCGGGGACAAGGATGACGTTGAGGTGGGCCGACTCAAAATTAATTAGTACCAGCTCAACGTTGTTGGGTTGAGTCCCACCCGTATCGTGATCCTTTAATTTTTCAAAAACAAATCCTTAACTGAAAATTGAAAACTAAAGGGGTGTGATTACATCAATGTTAACTAGAAGAAATTTTGCCCTTCCTGAGTAAGTTCTTCTGTATAGGCAGCTTAAAAAAGACGCCTAGTGCTTAAGCCTTGGGTTTGCATATTGTTAGATGTTAAGTAATTATATGAAAGCAAAAAAATCCAACACAAGCCAAAAGTAAAAATCTCTCTCCCTAGATGTCATTTTACCAAGTTAATTGGTTTAAACGAATAATTCTCTCATAAACAAACATTCAAGTTTTTTCCCAAAAAAAAAAACCTTGGTTCTAAATATAAGAACTAATTTGAGTCCTAAATATAACACCTCAATCTATTTTGTTTTCCAAATTTATAATGTGTTCTTAAAAATGTCCCTATTAATTATAAGATAAGTACAACTCTAATGTCTGTGATTGAAATGAAGTAAGTTAGAAAAGTCAATATACATTTGTTACGTACAAATACCTTAGAAAAGTCAACATACATTTGTTATAAATAATTAATTTAACTAATTTTTTTTTAGTATTTCTAGATTAATTATTTAACTCTTATATTAAGGATTGGGCAGTAAATCCCCTATTTTAATATTAGCTAGAAAAGTTGGATAAAAAAAAACATATATGTCAAAATGGAAAAGAATATAATCATTTTAAATTTAAAACTTTAGAGGGATAAGACGGACCTAGGCAGCTCGCGCTGTGTGGCACAAAGTCTCGTAATGCTTAGTTAGATGATCCTTCATTGTCATAATTTTAAGTCTTTATTGACATTGATGACAACAATTCAATATTAAATTATGGCACTGTATCTTAAAGGAAGCTCTCAAGTGTATATATAATAATCTCCCCTCTAGATAGAACCAATGTAATATTATCTATAAATAAGGTTAAACACTGCCTGCGCCCAAATCTTGTACTCAATCATTGTTGTAGACTTAAATTTCTCGGAATATTTGGCAACTTGCTGCCTCCTTTGCTTCGTGGAAATCATTCCGCTATTCCTATCTCATAATTATAATGTTGTTATAATCTATCATAATTTGCTTACGACTCAGGAGAAAAAATCTTGCCGCAATTAACAACTTTCCTATCATTTCTGTGTGCTAGCTTCTAACTTTCATGTACCCCAAAAATTTTTTTCTAACTTTCCTATTTTGATCTTCCGGATCTTATACGCTCTCTTTCACCACTTATTATTACAAATGCCTCCCTCTTCAGTTATATGCCCTACTAGATCCTCTAGTCCTTAATGTAAGAACTAATTAGAGAGTTAATATTGGTCCTATATATAAGACTTATTTTATATGTTTACCAATTTTTTCTTAAATTAACCCTATTAATATTCTTCAATAATAATCAAGTAAAAGAAGGAGGGAAGGAATTAAGAAAGATGCTTAGGGTATTTTATTAAAAAAAATATCATTTTAACTAATTTAATGAAAATCTTTAATTTATTCAAATCAGTTAATTAGGTTTTACGTTAAGGACCAGAGGAGTATGTTGTATAAAATGTGAAAAATGAATAAATGATAATACTCAAAACTTGTAAATAGTTTAGTTTGTTACTACAAATTTTATATTTTGTATTAAAAATCGATTATTGGTTTAATTATATTGGCTCCCCCCCCCCCCAAAAAAAATCCCATATATAAATTGCTAATAACATGCATCTCTATCGTCAAGATCGGAGTCCTTCCCAGTTACATCATTTTGTACAATTATAGAAAGATTGGAATCGTAATGAGCTAGCCCCACCTACCAAAATCATTTCAAAAGGCCACTAGGTTTATTGCCACCACGCCCTTATCTCATATCTGTCATAGCTGTATCAAAACATATAACTTACTACTTGTTCACCTTAATTCTTCCCATTTCTGAATATACTATCACCTGCATAAACTCTTGTCTGGTATATATCTGTCCAAACACCAATAATTCTTGTTCCTGCTGGCACTCAAACTAAGAGAATCCAACCAACTCGTAGCTATATAACTAGGTAATCCACAACCGACCACTATTGCGAACGTTACCATCTGCTGTCTTACAATCTTCAATAATCATCAGGATACAAAGAAAATTGCTTACTTTTAAGAACCATTGATGCAACGAAAATTTGAGAGAGCTCCTTCTAGCTTCCTAGAATTGGAGGGTTTTAATTTCCAAGATGAAATCTGTGGTCAAGTAGTTTTCTCTCGCAACTGAAGCGTGACGAAGAAATGAGGTATAATTATAAGACTCAGACGCTTGAATAGTCGCAAGCAATAGAGAGCATTAGAGCAACCTCCATTATTGTTTGCGTCAGCATCCAACCATTGTTCCATCTCTTTGCTAACTCAGTGCTACTAATCATTCTATCTCTGTTGATTGATTTCTCGTTTCATTCTGACCTCACTCGCACCAGCCAAAGCCCCTAATTAGCTTCTCGTTTTATTCCTCCTCTCTTTCAAAATTTTGACCAACCCAAATAATAATGGATCCCCATTTCTGGATGGACATATAGATATTCTTGTGGATGAAGATTGAAGGAGGATGGGGTTAGCTCATAGGCAATAATAATGGTGGTGAGATGCATTATGGACTTGACGTCAAATCAAAACATTCTCATTTGTAATGATGAAGAGCTACCATTCGCTCGAAAACTACTGCTCCTCATAATGGACCAGCTCCATCATCACTCTTACATGCTTTATTTTAAAGCCTATGTATGGCCACCTGGGTCCGAATGGTCCGACCCACGCACCAAATTACCTCTCCTCCTGTCTTGGAGCACAACCAGAATATGAAAAAATTAACCCTAGCTATTATTCATGATTATTTATGAGTAGTAATATGGATATACATAGATATAGATTAATTAGTTATGCTTTTGATCTTGATTTATTATATATACATCAACTTTTCTAGGGTAAGTTTAGATGACAGGGCAAATTTTTAAAACTACATCTTAATTTGAGAGAGTTCTATTGATGAATCCATAAAACTTGATTCCAGTTAATCAGAATCCGGAACTTACTGTTTTTTTATTTTCCAAAGAAGGAATTAATCGAAACAAAAATGTAAGATTATAAATTAATTATTTCACTTGTAAGAGGAAAAAAAGGCTCAACGGCTTAATATTGCGGTTAGTCCATATACCTACTGATGAAAGATTGATAATAAAATAAATTAAGCTAAATACTTTTTTTCATGCGCAATTACTGATTATTAATTTGATTGAATCAGTTTCGTTTTCATTTTTATTTAGGATTTGGATGGAGTAAACTTTAAACAGGAGGCCTACATTCCACGCACATCATCAACATGATTATATGCGTGATTTATTAAGGATATCCAATTAATTATATACATTATTTAAATAACTCAGTTCACTTTTTTTTTGGGGGGTTTACATAACTCAGTTCACTTTATTTGTATATTCCATTACACCGATTCTCTTTGATTGGCTCCAGAGTGGTTTTTCCAGCATTTTCTTTTCAGTATTTGGGTGTTTTTGTGGTATTCTTTAGGTGTTTTTTTCCCAATAATCTGGGCCTGGTCTGGGTATATGCAAAGCAGAGCCCTTCTCTATTTGAGAGCCCAAAAAAGTTTCATCTTCTGTCAGATATGGGCTAAAAGTCATTCCCAAATGTTTTAGGCCTAACTGTGGAATGATTCGAAGGTATATTTATATTCTTGGCCCAAAAAAGAAGACATGTTCTCACCAAAAACAAAAGAGGGCATGCTTTTAAATCAGGTGCAAGTGCCTTATTGATATGCTGAACTCTGTCACTGAGACTACTAATAGCAGCTTACTGATGCTTAAAACACAAAGTATGCTGCAATTTTCCTGCGAAGTCAAGTTACAATTCTTGCCTGGCGCTTTCAATGGTGTGGCTGATGCACTTGCAAATAGAGAAATTGCTGAATCCTCTGTTTTTAGTTCGTACCCTTTACGGTTAAATACACTGACTGAATATCATAGATTAGGAACTTTATCCTTATTTTGGGCTCTAGTCCTCTTTTATACCAAAAAAAAAAAAAGAAGGCGTGTTCTCTATGTATAAGACACTTTTTATTTTTTTTATTAATTAATTTAAATTTAAGCCATTCCATGCTTTAATTAGATGTGAATTTTTTCAAACATGATTTTTTTATTCACAGATTCAAAGCTTTGTTTAAATCGATGTAAGTTTCTTATCTAATTGTTTACATGATCTGTAATTGAAAGAGCTTTGATTCAATAATTAACTTATATAATGCATTATTGTACAGTGATTGGATCAATCCCTATTCCATATACTACCTTTGCCAATTTTTAGTATAAGACCTCATTTAACTTATATTTTGATCATAAATATAAGACCCCAATCCACTTTGTCTCTCATATTTATGTATTTTTTTCAAAGTAATCCTTTTAATAATTATAATTCTAGCTAAATATATTTGATTAGTAAAGATATTTTAGGAAAAATAATACATATTTATTACAAAAAACTAACTTAACTTATTTTGTTAATCTATCCAAATTAGTCAACTAACTATTATAACTTAACTTATTTCTTTAATTTACTTAAATTAGTCAACTAACTCTTATATTTAGAATAGAAGGTAGTATTATATATTAGATTAATAGACGAAATTTTAAGGGGGAAAAAAGAACTATATAAACCACTTTGTCTCTCATATTTATGTATTTTTTCTCAAGGTAATCTTTCTAATAATGATAGTTCTAGCTAATACACTTGATTAGTAATGATATTTTAAGAAAAATAATACTTATTTATTACAAAAAATAAATTAATTTATTTCCTTAATCTACTCAAATTAGTCAACTAACTCTTATAACTTAATTTATTTTTTTAATCTACTTAAATTAGTCAACTAACTCTTATATTTAGAATAAGAGTATATATTAGATTAATATACTAAATTTTAGGGAGGGAGAACAATATAAACCACTTTGTCTTTCATATTTATGTATTTTTTTCTCAAGATAATCCTTCTAATAATGATAGTTCTAGCTAATACACTTGATTAGTAAGGATATTTTTTAAAAAAATAATACATATTTATTATAAAAATTAAATTAACTTATTTTCTTAATCTACTCAAATTAATCAACTAACTCTTATATTTAAAATAGGAAGTAGTATTATATATTAGACTAATAGACTAAATTTTAGGGGGGGAAAAAGAACAATACAAAATTTTATATTAAATTCTACGATGTTTTCATATACAAAAATGGACTCAAATGCTATAATAGTGCAACTCTTAAAATAAAACCGGCAAGAAAAGTCTATGAAAATGATTGGAAAGAAAGTCTATAAAACAAGATCAATAAATATTATACTAAAAATGTTAAGAAAATCAGATATATAATGAACATATACTTTGGATGTCATTTAGTTATTGGATCGATCAGAGATAAGTATCAATTTGACCTATGAGTTCTCATATTTCATATCAATGAATAACCAAGAACCCTGTAATTCGTCCACTTGGCAACATAACATATGCTCAAAACTTTGAATCAATGGAAAATGGAAAAAGAAAAAAAAAACAATATTGTCCGTTGACCAAATATTTTAATTAATTAAAACTTGTCTTTGTTAAGTATGCATTCTCTTTTGAATATGAATCATGGATGTTATTCAATCAAAAGGAGCTTCATGAACGTCATCGTGTGGAAACGTTGCCACGCAAATTATTATTTAACATATAATCTTCCAATCATTGAGAAAATTATGGTTTAAACTCAAAGAAACAAAAGCTTCAAGTTTTAGTTACTTTATTATATCTTAAGTTTTTAAATTTAACTAATTGTTAAGTTCTTCAATATCAGATTAAGTCAATGCCATCCTTTAGCAATTAAAAAGAGTGCAATTTTACGGCCCATTGTTTAACATTAATAAAAATGATTTTGATTATGGTATTAATCTAATTAAACGTTTTATATATGATTCAACCGTGATGGAATCATGATCAAATTAAAATCGACTGAACTTAGATTAATGTCCATCCATAATCGTAAATACAATTAATCGAAATAAACAATTAATAATTAACAATCATAATATTCATGAAGTCAGTTCATAATTGACAATAATTAGTGTGCATGAAAATAATATTATGTAGCATTATGATATAGATATAAAGAAATATTTTACCCAAAAATAGTATCATTTTGTACCTACATATAAAACTTTTCTTTTTTTTAAAACATAGTACATCTATTAACATTTTTTGAAGTATATGTCAAACATGAATAAACTTATAATGATGTGGGATGGAATTGGCCTTAAGGTTGCTGAAATGTAAGATTTTAAATTAAGATGTGACATCAGTTTTACCTTTTACCTATTGTCCTATCTCCCATCTGGGGGTGGCGCTTCCTCCTCTCTTTTGGCTCCTTCATTTTCAACTGGTTTAATTCTACCAGTTTTTAACTAGTACTATGACATGATATGATGGTTTCTTCGGTTTGATATGAAAGAAATAGAGGGGAAAGGAGAAAAAATTTCAAGATTGATTTAAAAAATTAAAAAAGTGGAGTTAGAAACTTCCAATTAATTTTTATTACTCTTTTATTTACATCTTCTTTTTATTAAAATTTTAAAATCTCACCTTTTTAATTTTTTAAATCGAGCTTATTGTTATTTTCTTTCGCCTCCCCTCCATTTCCCTTTTACCAAACATTGCTTGTTCCTATTTTTATGGTTGGACCGTCCAGTTTAAGCTCAATGCTATCCGTAGCAGTGATTTTGGTTGCATTTGCATCCACTCACTGTTACTTAGTCGGTGATAACTACATCAGCCAAATCGTTTCTAAATTTCACTAACAAAGGGCAAATATTTGATTATTAAACTAATATATATGAATCGATAATCGATAAGAAAACAATAAGTTAATAAAGCAGTTACTCGTATTCGTATATTTAAATTGAGAAACACAATATTCAGCCAGGAATGTCAGATTCGCACATCTTTTGTTATTATTTTATATATGCACAAGGAAGATAATTAACTAGACTTATTCAAAACTTTTATACAATATTGAATGGACACGTTGATACACCAAAGCCTCCAGGAGACAATTAGAGAATAAATTCAAACAGCTCATCAGCCCTTGGTTTGAGTTTTAATTCAACTGATCATCCCATGATCAATCGATTTTTGGCATTATGAGTTTTCTTTTTTGAAAAATTATCCACAAGTCCCAAGTAAGAAATTATATATAATTAGGCCTCCCAAAATTGATATATTATTAATAAATCCAAAGGATTTAATATTTATAAGTCTAGCTTTCATATTTACACATAAAGTTACATTATTTACAAATCAAATTTAACAATTTAATGTTTACGAGTCAAACTTTTATATTTATAAGTCGAATTGCACTATTTATGAGTAAATATTAAATCTCTCTAAACCTGTTAGTACTAGCTAGTTGGAATTCAGGGCAAAACTTACATATATATTTTTAACCCAGGGTAAGTTCCCCCATTTTGCCCCCATCAGCTCGCGTGCTGAGTGTGAACAAATAGTAAAGAGAATAAACATATCAGAAGTCTAAATTCCATTGAGAAAAACATAGTTAATCAGCCGGCCGGCCAAGGGCGGCCGGCATAGGTGGAGACCAAAAGGAGCTAAATGAGCTTTAAAAGAGAAGATTCCATTTTGAAGATAGACAAAGGCATTGAAGTGATCCATTTTTCCGGAGAAACGTAACAAACTCGCGATCCCATAGTTTCAATTATGGGATCCAACCTGAGTTGCTGTGGTTCAGACAAGGTGGAAGAAGTGTAAGTGAAAATTGCCTTCATTTGAATTTCCCTGTCTTTCCTCAATTAATGTATTTGCTTGCAAAGGATTCCTAATTCGTTATTTCTTATTCACAGGCCAGGATCAGGTAGTGTGGCGAATAATAATTCATGGAGAATATTCACATACAAGGAGTTACATGCGGCCACCAATGGTTTCAGTGAGGATTGTAAACTTGGTGAAGGTGGCTTTGGAAGTGTCTACTGGGGAAAAACCACTGATGGTCTCCAGGTATATATATAGTTTAATTAGTCACAGTTTGCTTCCATTAAGAAATCTTCGTGGGCATGTTAATAAACGAGCGATTATATTCAAAAATTTGCAGATAGCAGTGAAGAAACTGAAAGCAATGAACTCAAAGGCAGAGATGGAATTCGCAGTAGAAGTAGAAGTTCTTGGAAGGGTAAGGCACAATAATTTGCTAGGCCTAAGAGGTTACTGCGCCGGCGACGAACAACGACTCATAGTCTATGATTACATGCCAAATCTCAGCCTTCTCTCTCACCTCCATGGCCAGTTCGCCGCAGAAGTCCAACTCGACTGGAAAAGAAGGATGAACATTGCCATCGGCTCAGCCCAGGGCCTACTGTAAGCACCTATATACATATACACACACACATATATATATCCGTTCACATTCGTCTCAAAAGAAACCCTATTGATTTGTTCTCTGCATACTTGTTGTTCTTGCTAGGTACTTGCATCACGAGGTTACGCCTCATATAATCCACAGAGATATAAAAGCAAGCAATGTTCTGTTAAACTCAGACTTTGAGCCTCTGGTTGCAGATTTTGGGTTTGCGAAGCTAATCCCAGAAGGGGTAAGCCACCTGACGACCCGTGTGAAGGGCACTTTAGGTTACTTGGCTCCTGAGTATGCCATGTGGGGTAAGGTTTCTGAAAGTTGCGATGTTTATAGCTTTGGGATTCTTCTGTTAGAGCTGGTCACAGGAAGGAAGCCCATTGAGAAACTACCAGGAGGGCTAAAGAGAACCATAACTGAGTGGGCTGAACCTTTCATAACCAAAGGCAAGTTCAGAGAAATGGTGGATCGAAAACTTAGAGGTAACTTCGATGAGAGACAAGTTGAGCAGATGATCAATGTGGCTGCTCTGTGTGTTCAGAGTGAGCCTGAGAAGCGACCAAACATGAAACAAGTGGTTAATCTGTTGAAAGGGTATGAAGCAGATCACGGGAAAGTGATGAAGACGAGGATAGATAGTGTCAAGTATAATGAACAGCTTATGGAGCTTGATCAGAATAGTGATGATGATGAAGATGAAACCAACGGTGGATATGGTGTTTTTAGTGCTCTTGAGATTCAAAAGATGCATGATCCTTACAAGCGCCATGGGGATGCAAAAATGGAGAAACCAATTTGAGGAACAACATATGATATATATAATATAGATAGTATCTATATCAGTTGAAATCGTGACTGGTCTGTATGAAATTCATTTGTAATTTGTGTGGCATAAACCTTTTCGTGGGGATTATCATTCATGAATAGTGTTGATCATTGACGTATTGTGAAATGTTCGGATTGAACATCAAAACTGAAGTTGAACTTTCAATTTCATGAAACGCTTCCTAAACTATATATTGATTGATGTGAATGCCATCTGGATTATGATCAAGAGTTTAGAATTTAAATCACCCAAACAAATGTTAATATATATGAGTGTGAATGTGTTTTGTTAGATATCTATCATATGTCAAGGTTTAGTTTTATCCTTTGAGATGCCTGTTGATGTTAGATGTTTGATCCTTATTATTGGCATGTTTGCCACTTTTGACGGATGTAACATTCCATTTAAGTGAAATTTTATGGAGTTTCAACAAGCTAGTAATAACAGTAATATCAGAAACATGAATAAAAGTAAAAATCCAGAAATTAGAATTAAACAATTTATATTTTTGTAAAATCAATAATTTTTTATACGTAGTCTTCATAATTTTATACTAATTACTAATTGTTCGTTTTTCATTTTTTACACCAAGTTTAGAGGCTGCTCAAATGGAAGTCAACTTGTTTAGCAAATGGACCGATCCAGCAGCAGTTAGAACATCATTTTTGGGCCATATACAGCTGAATGGGCTTTGGAGCCATGAAAAAGATAGGACGGAAATTAGTTCAGAAGTTTAACGGAAAGAACTAGTCTCTCACAATATGACGAATTAGGATTTGAATCCCGCTAGAAGAGGTATCCATATTTAGTGTCTGATAGTGTCTTAAATAGGATTACTTCTAATAAGAGAATATCTATACTTTAGTAAAAAGAAATTGGTCACACAAAGGGGTGTGTGGGGTGAATTAACCTTTTCATTTGAAACTATAATTTTTTTATTTATTCATAACTTATGAATGATTTTATTTATTATAAATTTTATTTGATATATTGATTAAAGGTTTCTTTTGGAGTTTGAATTTTTTTTATGATTAAAATCATTAGTATAATATATTGATTAAAGGTTATTTATAAATTGAACAATGTGACTTTTCTAAACTCTACATTTACACACATGCATGTAGTTTTGTTAATTTTAGATAACATAATGTACCCCAAAAAAAAATCCAGTCTGCTTCAATAATAAGGCTCTTTTTATAAGTATATTGAACTTGAGTGGGTTGTATGCATTTGTAAAAGCAATATGTGAAAAATGAAAAAAAAAAAAACATGTAGGCCCTGAAAAAGGGGAAAAGCAAGCTTAACAACTAGGTGGGGCCACATATTATTTGAAAAGAAAATGGACAAAAGTAGCAAACTTGCCAATTGCAATAAACCTAGTGATATGCAAAAATAAACAAGCAAATGTTGAACATTAATTACATAGGTCATTAATTGATTTGACCAAGCCCGTGAGAGTCTTATATCCAAATTCTATATTCTTATCTCTTTGAAAATCAAAATCAAAGTTCATATCTCTTTGAAAATCAAAATCAAAGTACTAAGAATTGGATTAGTTATTAAACTAATCAAAATAGTGGTTGAACTGTGAATGAACCAAAATCAACCCAATCATAATTAAAATAATACTACCTCTGATCAAAATATAAAAATTAACTTTTTAGTGCAGCTTGCAATATAAAATGAATTTTATATTTTGGATTGAAAATAATGCAGTAAGTAAATAGAACATTCCTATATAAATTACGAATAATCTAATGAAACATAGTTATTAAAGGACAAATATGTTTGACTGCTCTTTTTTTATGTCAAAGTGAAATCATTTCAAACTGATCAAGAAAAAAAATTCAAAATCCAACCTGATCGACCAGTCTAAAACCCTTAATCAAATTGATCAACAAAAAAAATCGGTTTATTAGATCACTAGTTTAACTGGGTAACCCCGATAAAGTTGAATTTTAGTAATATGTTAAAAAAATAGAAAAGACAATATGTAGCACTTGCATTTGCGTTATTAAAAACAAAAGACAAAAAGAGAGTGTGTGGTAAGATGGTAACAACTTACAAACTTCTGCTTTGTGGGGTTTTAAGGAAGGATGGAGAATCCATGTCTGGGCAGTTCCCTAATCCAAATCCTTTAGGTGTGCCTTAACCTTTGTCATATCTTTTGTAACATCTCAACCTGCAAAACTTGTGTCCTTTTAACTTAAACTTCTTAAAGTTTTGTCAAATCAAAATTTGATCATTCAACCACTAATCCTTCCCCACTTGACAAATATTATAAGATTCCAATGTTTGACTTTATAGACAACGTACAATGATCCTCACATTCACATTTATTTATTTTTTTTCCCGATTTTTTTAGTATCACAGATTGTCTCTTGCCAGCAACGCCTGCACATGCCCACTTCGTTCACTATACGTATGCTGTCTGAAATGGAAAGTCTTTTAACCAAGCTTGAAGCAATGGTATAGTACCTCATGCTTAAAAATTTGTCAATTGGTTCGAGAATCTCCTAAAATCCTTTCCACAGTATATTGCAAAAATTAAGTACTCAAATTTTTTAAAAGATTCATACTTTAGCCGATCATGAATGCCCAAATAGCGACAATTGCATTTGGAATATACCCTTTTTCCTTTTATATCATATTCTTCTTTGTTCAAGAGAGATTTTCATAAAGATCGCTGCAATTATGGATTATTGGATTACATCTGATGATTCCGATTTCATAGTTCATGTATAAAAATACATTTAATCAATAATGCTAAAATTTGACATGAACATTCAAAACTGCTGTGGGAAAAAAATCAATAAAAAGAAACCAAATTTATCCACTTGGTACATTCAGGATTTAATAACGCGAATGTTAACTTCAACTATGTAAATTAAACAGGAAACCCATTTTCATACCGTTATTGGTGATGGACAAATTAGTTTATTCTAGGGCGATTAATAATGAAATTAATTAGTTGGGAGATAAAACTTAGGCAGCAATTCATGGTATGATTTGCTCATGATTGAGGATACTTTTACGACCCCATTACTCTAAGTTTAATACAATTTGCTGAGAGGATGTTGTGGTGCATGGAAAGCATATATATGCCAAAGTTACAAGGCTTGACAACGAAATAGGTGAAGGTAGTTATACGGAAATCTCTTTCACTTTATTCTCTTCTTCCCACAAAGAGAAAACAGTTAGTGTCCTCTCAAAGTTTCATTGATTATAAAGTGAGAGCCTCCTCTCAGACACTGCCAAATAACCCCAAATACTCTTTTTCCTACCAAATCAAAGTAAACCAATGAAAAAATAAGTATATTTTTTTTGGCTAAGTTTGAGGAAGAGGTTTTTTTTTTGGTTGACTTAGATAGGAAGATAAATCAAATACGTGCCCACCACCTTTGCTTATTTCTCAAAGCACCCAACTACAACACTTAATTGTGAGCAGAGAGAGAGAAAGAGAGACTCTAATCTCTTTCTGCTGTATTGCTCACTGTTGAAGGTCTTTTTAATTTTTATGCTTCTCAAACAAGAATGATCCCATTGGACATGGGGTTGGCCTCACAGTCTAACTGAACTTAATCATTCTTCTCTGCCTTCCCCTACTTATTCTTTACCTCTCAATGCATGCTTCTGTGTGTGACAAGAACCAGCAAATCAAGTAAACTCTTTCTTCTCTTTGTCTCTCTCTCTCTCGCTCTGCACATTGAACTCAAAAAATGATGCTTTCTTCTTCACCCAGTAAAATACTAATTGGTCTGCCCTTAGACACAAATGATAGCAGAGAACTTCTCTCATGGGCAATTAGAGTGCTAGCCAATCCAAACGACACCATTGTGGCCTTTCATGTTCTTGGTTAGCCATTTATATATCTTTCTGTCTAAACTTCATTTTTGCTGCTCATGATAGCTTCTTATTCAGAGTTTGGTATGCCTGCGTTATTACGTGATTCTTAGGTTGTAATGCTCTGCTTGCGCCTTAAATTACAGTTTCTAAGGATAAGAAGAAGAAAAGGAAGAAGCGTGCTTCAATGACAAGAAGGCAGTCACAACTTCGACAGGCTAAAGCCTCTGTCATATCTGTGCTTGGTGAATTTGCCAAGACGTGTTGGTCTAAGCAGGTAATTATATATCTTCCTAATTCATGAACACTAAAATATGGCGTTATAGGCAATGAATAATGATTCTGATTAAGACATTATTCTCAGGTGAATCTGGAAGCCAAAGTGGCATTTAGTTCCAGTGTGGGTGGAGGTTTAGTTGAAGAAGCCAAGTCAATATCTGCTGACTTTCTTCTTCTTCGTGGTTCTAGAAACCCGTCTAACAAGTAAAAACAGAATGCAGAAACTACTATATATTTTCTTATGGACATTATAAACCCTTTTGTTTTTTAACTGTGTTGGTTATTTTTCTTAGGAATCACGCCTCTAATGGAATCACCAAGTACTGCTTTGAGAATGTTCACGAAAGCTGCACCTTAGTCTCCGTTGGGAAAAGCTCCAAATCCAGTTTTACAAATTCTCAAGGTAATTCAATTCTCTATATTAAGGAAACAAAAAAGAAAAAACATTCAACACTGGATAATAAATTAAGTTTTTCTTATGAGTGGCTGATAATTATGAATCAGGCTCAGGGTGGCTTGTGAAGGATAAGGAAAGTGACAGGGGAGCATCCCCTGTTTTGAAGGCTTTTATCACAGGCTCAAACTCTAAGACACAAACACGTTCACCAAGAACAGTATTGGACGCACTTGAGGGTCAATCTAACAGCACAGAAGATGACACTTTTAGCACAAGAGTCTCAAGCATTACAGACACTCCCTCAACAGGTTCTAAAATCAAAAGCCAATCCAATTTAAGGAAACCACAGTCGCCATTCAGATTCATAGCCTCACTCCTTGCCTCACCATTAAGAAGGAAGAACTCCAAGAAGTCCCAAAATGAAAAGAAACAACCCTTGTTAAAGTGCTTCAGTTATGAGGAGATCTCCAATGCCACAAATGGCTTCCACCAAGGTAAAACAAAGCCTTCAAAGCTCTAATAATTAATCAGTGTTTATAATTACCTGAGTTTGAAATGCTTATATATGCACGTTTTTTTGCTGCAAACATCAGACAATTTGGTGGGACGAGGTGGGTACTCTGAAGTATACAGAGGAGATCTTTCTGATGGACAAACTATTGCAGTGAAAAGGTTGTCCAAGGACAACAAGGACCCTAACAAGGAAAAGGAGTTCCTCATGGAATTAGGAGTCATCGGACATGTCTGCCATCCTAATACTGCATCTTTAGTTGGGTGCTGCATTGAAAATGGACTCTACCTGGTTTTCAAATACTCCCAAAATGGAAACTTGGCCACTGCATTGCATGGTAAGACAGCCGCAAGTCAATTTCACATGAGACAGATTTTTAAATAAAAACTGTTTATAAAAGTCAACTCACCTGAAAAATAAGACAGACAAAAATTTTAACGTTGGCTTGCTAATGAATCAGGTAAATCAGGAACGTCACTTGACTGGTCAGTGAGATACAAAATCGCCATTGGAATAGCAAGGGGTCTGCATTATCTTCACAAGTGTTGCAAACGCAGAATAATTCATCGTGACATTAAAGCCTCCAATGTGCTTCTGGGTCCAGATTATGAACCACAGGTAAAGAAAAGGCGGACATCTTGGGGTTATAAAAAAAGACAATGCTTTGAACAAAACCCATCTAACTTGTGCTTTGAATTCCTCTGGTAGATTACTGATTTTGGGCTAGCAAAGTGGCTTCCAAACAAGTGGACTCACCATGCCGTAATACCAGTGGAAGGCACGTTTGGGTACTTGGCACCAGAGTCCTTCATGCATGGAATAGTGGATGAGAAAACTGATGTTTATGCCTTTGGGATTCTTCTCCTGGAGATTATAACTGGAAGAAGACCTGTTGATTCTAAGAAACAGAACCTTCTCCTTTGGGTAACTTGTTTTTTTCTCTTTTAATTATTCTCTGACTTTATTTTCATGAACAGATTAAGCCACAGTACTAATCGTATGTCTACAAAATAGGCAAAGCCTCTGATGGAATCAGGGAACATTAAGGACCTAGCTGATCCAAGAATGGAAGGTGTATACGATGAAGAGGAATTGAATAGAATAGTTATCACAGCTTCATACTGTGTGAGACAATCTCCCCTTTGGCGTCCCCAAATGAGCGAGGTAAAATCACCATTAATTAACTTTGTCAGAAAACATGATGAATCAAGTTTTTTATACTGTTTGTTTGTTGGGTGAAAGGTGTTGGAGCTGCTAATTAGTGGGGAAGACAGTGAGGCTGGGAACAGCAGGAGGATCCCAAAGTTCACGTCTGATGAACTGGATGATTATTCCATGGCTTTTGGATATGAAGTGCCTTCTGACATATCTCTGCAGGATTTTTTGTGAGGGTGACAAGTAGTTTCAGAGGATTCTTCTCATGTTTTGACATGGCAGGGCTTGAAGATGAGAGGGTTTTATGTTTTGGGGAATGTGGGTAGGGAGATCAGAGGTTGGGTAATTCTGTTTGTTTCTCAACACAAGAAGGGCTTTGCTCATGTTGGCGAGAGATATAAAATAGCCTAGTGAAAATGAAGACATAATTTTCCTGGCAGTTATGACTAAAAATCAACAATTAATAATTTAATATAGTTCAGAGCATTGAAAAACACTTAAAATGAATCATATTATTGATAGGTTCTACGTAATAGTTTGAGATGGGCGAAGAAATGTTTAAAACAAACAACACTTGCATATTGGTTAAAAAAAAAAAAAAGACTATCATTTAAAAGTCAGGCTCAAAAATTAAAGTTATCTTTTAAGTTTATTCTGCCTCACAAAGGGGACATTCTTTATTTGATTTCTATAAGCATTATTGTCTTTAAAATTGTCCGACCATAGGTGGTCCAAACAGAGCCATTCAGTGGGTTGTGATGCATTGCGGACCCAATAGGAGCTCTGGCCTCTAGCCATTGAAAATTGAAAATTTTCCAAAAGTGGTGAAATTTCAGTGGAAAACAAGAATACTGCTTTATAATTATTATAAAAATTGTAAACATACACACTCACAAGTCACAACTCTACACACACCTCACTTGCTTTGTTCTTCCCACTCATGCAAACCTAACATGCGCATACAAAAGAGCTACAATTGTGGTACAATACTTATTGTTGTTTAAGATCATGACACTAAATTAATAAGTCTTTAATTAATATAAGTTATTATTATATATTAATTAAAATGTCTTCATTTGATCCCCCTCGTCTAAAAGGAAAGGAGAATAAATAAGATAATGCAAAAAGAGTGATATCGATGATGGGTGAAAAAATACATATTGAGAGGGTGTTTGGATAGTATGAGAAGTGCTTTTAAAAAACACTTTTCTGCAAATTGAGATAAATTCATCCATATATTTATTTCGTATACCGTAAAATCACTTCTAAAACCATGGTTTTGTTTTCATCCCAATACCCCTTAAGAGAGAGATAGGTATTGAATTAGAATATGGTTAGAAATTTTTTAAAAAATAAAAGTTGATTAAGTCTTAAATTTTTAACATGAAAATTTTTTATAGTAGAAAAAGTCTAAAACAATACTCTTTATAATTCATAATATAAGTTATTTTTAAAACGTCAAAAAGCTTATAACTCAATTAGCATCCCATATCTCCACTCGTAAAGAAGGCCATGAATTCTATATCTCATGTGGTTAAGTACGGGAGGGTGTGTGATGGTTGTGTGGGACTATCCTTTTCCATGGACGTTGGGTTTAGATTGTCCATATAAAAAAAGGTTATTTTTAAAACAATATAGAAATTAAGAGTAGTTAAAAAATAATTTATATTACTACATCTGATTTTTAATATAAGAGTTATTTAACTAATTTAAATAAATTAAAAAAATTAATTATTTGTAACAAATGAATTGATTTTCCTAAATTATCTTTTTTCATGACTATCTTTAGATAGAAATATTCTTGTTATGTGTAATTAATAGTGATATTTTAAAGAATGAATTAAAAATTTAGAAGATAAAGTGAACTAATGTCTTATATTTCAAACTAAATCTAATTTTTAATTAGTTCTTCTATTAAAGGCTAGAAGTAGTATTAAAAATTTTTTTAAAAAAAAAAAACTACTCCTCCGATCCTAAATATAAGACTCTTATACATACTTGTATAAGGGTCTTATATTTAGAACATGAAAAGTATTATTTTTCAAAAGTACCATGATTTAAGTAAATAATTGAAACCTTAATTGCACAACACACTTAAATATACCTGGGGAAACAAAAATTTAATGTTGTAGACGTTTGGTAATGTGATTTATATTTAAGACCCTTACTTTTTAAAAAAACTTGCATTAAAAATAAGAGAAAATTATTAAAAAAAAAGTATATTCGATTTTCTTATTTTCCCCAGCTGTTTTGAAAGGGAGGTGATCCTAATGCAACATTAGGAAATTTAAAGATAGCCTAGTTGTTAATACGCACTTAATTAGGCCGATAACTCATATACTAATTATCAAAGATATGATAATTAGGTTGTTGTCGTTTTATTAAGCCTCATAACATTCAGGTACTATTTGATATGAGGGAAATGAAAGGGAGGAGAGAAGAAGAAAAATTTTAATAAGCTCTATTTGAAAAATTGGAGAAGCAGGGTTTTGAAATTTTAATAAAAGAGAAGAAGTAATATAAAAAAGCAATAAAAATTAATTAAAAGTTGTTAACCCTATTTTTTTTTTAATTGAGCTTATTAAAAAAAATTTCCTCCTCTCCTCCTCCCATTTTCGCTCATACCAAATAGACTGTTAAGGCTACGCCCATTGGAAAGCACAAAATCATGGCCTAACCACTGTAGCATAACCATTATTAGTCATTGTCATGAGCATGTTTATAACAACCCTAATTATGACATCCAAATTCTAATTTCTTAATTACCCTTCTTTTGCTTATGTTACATTCAATATGTGGAGAAGCCTTTTTTTTAAAAAAATAAAAGAGGATTTAAAAAAATAGGCTTCTGTGTTTGGTAGCGTGAAAACTAATAATAGAATAATAGATTTGCTGAAAAACTCATTTCCCATATTTATTTGCATTCTCATTAGCATTTCATTCATACTTTGCGGGAGAGAAGAGATCAAAGGCGAGGATTGAGAAATAAGGCAGGGTTCGAGTACTAATTACCAATCGAGGAGGATTCAAAATTTTCAGATGTGATTAAAAATTTAAGAAAATAAATTCTATAAGAATATTCTTATGCTGTACATGTGAATATTGTAAAATAAAAGTGTTGTTGAACAATTCAAAAAAAAATTTCACTGGAAATTTTACAACTCATTTTTTTTTTTACCGCAGAATCGATTAATAATAATTTTTTTAACTATGACCAAAAATTGTAACATAAATTTCAAAAGTTGAAAAATATGAGAAACTTACTTTAAATTTGCATGATTGGGCCAAGAAGTTGGGCAGTCTCTAGACTTGGCCCAAACAATGTTGGGCCGAGCGAAGGAGTTTCCTAAAATACTGATAAAAAATTTTGACGGTTGACATTTAAATACAATTTTTCTGACATTACAAAAGGTTAAACACTTGAAATCAAATTGAATTTCAGTAAAACTAACAGGAGTGAAAAAAAAAAATTAACCAAGAATATAAAACGACAGTGTTTAGCTCACTTTAGAGCTAATTATGCACAGATAAAATATAATTAAACCGGTTTGATTGAACTATGATGGTCAAACAAGCAATTGAGATAAATTAGGTTTAAGCTCAATTAGAAGTTTAAAACTTGCATCAACCAAATAATTTAGATAATTTTGATTCATATATCCAGTAAACCGGACACTAAACAATATTGTGTTTGTGTGTGCTGTTCTTGTTATTGGGATCGTAGCATTTTTGAAGTGGTAGAATTATTCTATCGATTAAATAGATTAAGGGGGAGTTTGGACTTTGGGTAAGAATAAAGTCATGATTTCATAAATGCTTTTACGGTATACGAAGTAAATATGTGGAGGAGTTTATCTCGATTTATAAAAAAATACTTTTAAAAAGTGATTATGAAGTGTTCCAAACACCCTCTGAATGAAAAATAAAAGAGAGAGATCTGAGACATAGATACCAATGATTAATTGACTGGGGCAAATGACTAAAGTTATAAATTTTTTAAGGAAAATATTATTCGTAAAGACGAAATACAAGAGGTTATTTATTCTGAAAGACCCCTAATAGTAAACACCATAGTTCTGTTTGTTTGTAAATTTGTGCACAATTTTAGTAATAAATACACATATGTCAACTGATAAATTCGCACAACATGAGAATAAATAATTTTTTTAAAAATAATTTTAATAGATTTATAGCATAATACTATCCCAGGTCCTTAATATAAGACTTCATTTAATTTTTATTTTGACCTTAAATATAAGATCTCAATCCACTTTATCTCTTATATTTATTTATTTATTTCAAGATAGTCATTCTAATAATAGTAGTTCAAATCAATAAACTTGATTAGTAAAGATATTTAGAAAAACATAACATCTATGTATTATAAATAACTAGTTTAACTTATTTTTTTAATCTATTTAAATTAGTTAACTAATTTTTATATTTAGAACAAGAAATAATAAATTCATCTATGGTAGCAAACCAGAGCCATACGCAAAACACGGGTAAGATAAAAATAAGGGGAACTGGGGGTTGACTATGGGAGGGGGGGCCATGAGCGGGTGGGAGGACCACACTGATGGGAGAGGGACGGTGGTGTCGCGGGACACGTGGAGCCCGCACCCAATGGCTCCGGCCTCTTCTCCACGTGAACCCCTCAGGGCCGTGGCCCCACCTGATTACGGCCCCTCCCTTCCCCCATTATTCCATCCAGTCAGCCATCACAAGCACGTCTCCAGCTCACTAGGCATGGGTCCCATGCATTGTCCCAAATCTAAATCTTCGCTTCTAAACTTTACGACACAGATTTGGAGTCTCTTCATCATATAAACATGGAGTTCGAGTGGATATAAACCCACATTATTGGAATGCCCTCACCATGGGTCAACCATATCTCGGAGAAATTAATGTCATCACCATTGTTTATGAGTTGATTTTCCTGAGCTTATCATTTTAATATTATTAAGTTACAGAACTGTATTATCTTATTATAAATTGGTTGAATTTGTGAAATAACCTTCCAAATTTACTTATTCGCCCCTTAATATAAGACCTAATTTAAATAGATTAAAAATGAAAGTTAAATTAATTAATATGATATTTTTTCTAAAACATTTTAAGTATGTTTTTTTTAATTTACTTTCTTCATCTCCTACTTGATTATTATCAACAAAATATCAATAAAGTTAATTTAAAAAATTAATAAATATATGTTAAATAAGTATTATATATTGAACCAATATTAACTTAGTTCCTTATATCAACGACAGGAGGAGCATCATTTTTACCAAGTTCAACGAATCGAACCTGTCAACCCAGTTTACAAATAGGAGGACCCGGTCTATAGAGGGGGGGGGGACTAAAAGATAGAATCTAATATTAATACTGCCTTTGAAATTCGTAAAAATTTTTTGTTGAGCACGCGTAATAAGTTATTAATATTTATAAATTGATTTTAATTATTTAATGCCTTTTCATGATTTTTTTATTTTTAAGGATATTCTTTCTATGAAAATATCCTATTGAACATATGTGTTCAGCATTATATATTTTAATTTACAATATAAGTACTTTTTATTCAAAATATTGAATGATTTGAATTTGAAATGTATTTAAATTAAATTTTTATTACTTTTTGTATTTTAATCATTTAATTACATACTACCTCATGTCCTAATTATAAAACCCCGTTTATAATAAAACCCCGTTTATAAGTAATACTTTTTAATAACCACTCTATTTACTAATAAATTTAAACTAGTAGATTTTTATGTAAGTTTCTATTCCGAATTTACATCGCAGTCACAAATTTGCTTAAGTATGTGAATTTGACAACCTTGGCAAATAGCATGAGAAACATGGGTGGAAATGAAATTTGAGATGGATGCTAATGGTTGCTGACAATGAACTTTAATTAAAGCTTAATTGAGGAATTAGGGATTAATGGGGTAATTAATTGAGCCGGTCCAATAGAATAGCCGCCATAAATCGCAGGGAATTAACTGGATTAAACCAACTATATGTGTGGACGTCCCATGATACACATTATGATAATCCCACTCTTGAATACTTACTTCATTATCTTTGCGATATCCAATCCAATCCACCACTTTTTATAGGCCTCACAGTGAGGGATGATTCTCTTTTTTATTATCTATAAAATTAATAATAAACGGAAATGTCGTGGGATGATGAACTAATGGATATAGTACTATATATAAAATTAATATTAATTATAGATTAATATAATTTTTTATCCTTAAAATTTGGGTCAATTTTCAATTTGGTTCCTCAAATTTTAAAGTCATGATTTTAGTTCATAAAATTTAGTCTGTTTTACAATGTTAGCCTCTTGAGGTGTATTAAAATCTAGTGAAATATCGTAAACAGCATTAAAGTAATAATTTGGACGCATTATATTGCACCTAACTAAATCTTATATGTATAACCTAGAAAAAACAAAACAGATCCTCAGAACGCAATGCAAAGACAATTGTACAGTGGGAATGAGTTCTCAAAACACAGCATAGTGCACAGCTTTTTGTACAAACAACGAGAAAAAAAAAAAGGGCTAAATAGCTACATTATAAGAACCTGTTCTTTTTCTTTTTTATTCTTTGTTATCTACACAAGATTTAGATAGGTGCCATCTAGTTAATCCACATCACTATTTAAATGCTGTTTACAATACTTAGCCAATTTTAATACTATTACACCTCTAGGGATTAATTTTATAATGGACAAATTTTAGGAACTAAAACCACAAATTTAAAATTTAAGGGACTAAAATCAAAATAGGTCTATATTTCATAGACCAAAAATTATATTAACTCTTAATTATAATATGCTGATTAATTGGTTTTATCCACAATACATGAGTCCACCAGTCAAGGTATACACACACACACACCATCTACAGTGACAGGTCACATTGAAGATTTCATGAGAGAGGATGGAAGTTGATGGCCGCCTTCGAATTTAAGAAAGTGTTTGAACAAATTCAGAATGTATATGGACCCTCTAACGTATATAATTATACATTCCATATGAGCCTCTTGTTCCCAATCAACAATACTGTTCAATCAGCTTCATTAATTCCTTCTTTCTTCTGGCCACGTTCCTCTAATTATAGCCACCACTCTCATCAATCCCAACAAACTCTCCCTTGCCAATCCTATAGAAATCAAAATATTAATATTACTAATCAAAGTTAATTAAATTTTCTGATGCTTAGTACCATGATGATATATATTCATTTTTCACCTATAAATCCCAGCTTGATGAAGCTCTTCATTGTTTAATTTTAATGGTAATCTCTATTATTGATAATTAAATTAGAATATTGTGTTCTTGGTAAACAAAAAGGAAATTAATTATTGGGAAATATGGTCAACACAAATTATAATCAAAGGCCTTATGCTATGAGTCAATTCAGCTAGATACATAGGGTGTTTGTGTGTTGAGTCAATTACTTGGTTCACTCTTGCCAGTGATGAAGTTGGCGAGAGATTTTGAGCACTCAACGAATATAGACACATTTGCTTCTAGCAACTTCCCCCTATCCCGTTTCCTTGTTCTCCTGTCGTCATGTCCCTTTGACTTCTTTTTTCAGATTACTTTAGTCAACCAGATATATTTGGGATTTTACTATTTTGTGAAATTAATCACCCATATAAATTAAACATTGATATCTTGGTATATCACAAGTCACAACATTTATATTTATATATTTATATATATATAATTCGATATATTTTATGAGGGATCTACCTATCATTTCATATTAGTTCCTCGTTGTAATCTTGTTTGAATGAATAGCTATGTTTAAATATTTTTAAACGTTTTTTTTTTATGAAACTACGAAGTATAAATAAAATTTTGAAATTCATGACACATTAGTCATAAAAAACGTCCTATGTTTTATCCAATGACGGGGCTAGGGTGAGGAGCTTAGGACTCTGGCCTAACAAAAACATGGGTAGAGAGATATATGTGTCATCTAAAATAAAACAAGAAATTATAGCATCGTTGATGGTTACAAGTAATATAACATATACTACTTCCGGTCCTTAATATAAGACCCCATTTGATTTTTATGTTGGTCCTAAATATAATACTCCAATCTATTTTGTCTCTCATATTTACTCAATTTTTTCTAAGATAGTCCTTCTAATAATTATAATTTCAACTAACATACTTAATTAGTAAGGATATTTTAGGAAAGACAACACCTATTTACTACCTCCGGTCCTAATTATAAGAGCCAGTTAACTAGTTTGAGGAGATTAAGGAAGTAAGTTGAGTTAGTTATTTGTCCTAAATAGGTATTGTCTTTCCTAAAATATCCTTGCTAATCAAGTGTATTAACTAAAACTATCATTGTTAGAAAGGCTACTTTGAAAAAAATATATAAATATGAGAGACAAAGCGGATTGAGGTCTTATAGTTAGGACCAAAATAAAAGTCAAACATGGTCTTATATTAAGGACCGGAGGTAGTATTACAGATAACTAACTTAACTTCTTTTTTTAATTTTTTCAAATTAGTCAACTGATTTTTATAATTAGGATCGAAAGTAATATACTATAAATTTTCAAAACTAATGAATCTAATTAACATTTCCATTGGAGGATAATGTATCATTCTCTGCTTTTAATTGGGATCAACCTTCTTCAAGCAATTTTGGCAAAATAAATAAACAAAACCTTTTTCAGGAATGTACTCGCAGATGTTTGGTCACCCCACAAGTCCAAGCTGTCATCCTTAGCAGCCCGCCGACCTCCCCACTCAAAATCCCGAGTCCAAATTTTCAACTAGGAGTCTCCGAAATACCCAATTTCTGCTCTTCTCTGTCTTTTATCTTCTTAGATCTAATAATGACTTAATAAATATCTTTTTTTGTTTGAACTTTTGAACTAAAAACAATTAAAAAAAATTTAGATAGAAACTAAACCAGATTTTAAAAATATTTTTACAATATACAAAGTAAATATAAAAAATTTTACCTTTTGACTCTTCCAAACACCTCCTAAGTCAATCATGAATATATCCTTAATTCACATGCACCTACTTTTGATCAATCTCAACATTTTATTTATATATACAGAAACGTTACAGTACTCAGGCTCCACGTTAATTTATTTCCTTAAACTATGCAAATCCATATAATATGTAACTTAAAAGGGAATATCCTGCAAATTCCTGCCAACCAATTTTGGGCCAACTGTCTTCTAATACTTCAAACAATTAAATAACATATGAGAGAAAAAGGAAGAGATAGCTGTGAACTAATAAGAAGACGGAAAGAGATCCGTGACCACATTTGAAAAAGAAGAAAACCTTCTACTCTTTCTTAAAAGGAAAATAAAAAAGGTGAAGAAAGATTACACCCACGTGATTCTAAAACCTCATTTCTGAAGTTACCCTTCCTTTCCATTTCACTCTCCTCCGTCAGATCTTCTTCTTCTTCATTTACGTTACGCCTTCATGCTCGTTGTCAATCACATCTACGGTTCCAACACCACCTTATACCCACCGTAATTATCGTACATTCCCGCACACTAAAACAATTCCCCATCATCCTGGATTCTTATTACTGATTTTAAAACGACGGTACGACGCCGTACTGAGCCTCCATCATGAGTCCCCCCGAGCTAACGGGGCTGTACACCCGGTCCACCTCCGACTCGGTTTCGCTCCGTTTAGCGAACCGACCCTTGATCCTGGGTCGGGTCTCCGCGTATGCTTTCCTCGACGCGTACCGGATGGTTTTCTCGAACTTCCGGTTCTTTCTTTTCTCTCTGTACCTCAACACCCTCGCTTCCCGGTCCATCCCGCCCAGCTGGGTCGCCTGGTTGCTTCCCGCCGACCCGATTCCGCCTGATTCGGAGCTGGTGGTCATGTTTCGCCCCAAGGAGAACGACATTTCTGACACTGACTCTGGCACAACCCCAACATCAAGCGAAGACGACGAGACCTATAAATATGCATATAATTTTTCATTACACAATCGCCTTTCCATAATTAGTATTAATCATGGTAGAAATCTTTGTTTTGAAATTAAACAATTCCTTCGGAACAAAGTCAGTGATGTTTGTACTCACACTTTGGCTTGGGTAGCTGCTAAAAGAAGAAAGCTTCGACCTGCAAAAATCAATATCGAAGCAATTCTCCGAGTGATTGATCATCGGAGCCGTAACAGGTTTGTTTTGAACCGGCACAACGCTGTCGTTTGCCGCGCCGTGATTGTTGTTGTTCTGATAAGAATTGGAGTACTCGAATTCCACAAATGGATCCATTTCCGTGAAGAACATGTCGCCGGACTTCACTTCCGGGGCACCCACGACCTTGGAATTGAAATTCTGGTTAGGCACCATCCACGGAACTGGTTCGGGATCGTCGGTTTGGAACCCATCGGAGCAAATTCCACTATCGCTGGGGACGAAGAAGTTGAAAGCAGCAACGGCGCCAGAGGATTTCGCCACCACCTCAGCGGAGTCATAAAAGGGCTCCACCGGTACACGCTCGTGGCGGCGAGCGAGGGGGTTGGCGGAGTGGATGTCGGAATCGCAGGTGACGCAGAGAGCAGCGGCGTCAGCCTTGCACGTGACGGAAGCAGGGGCCTGCTCGCAAACCTCGCACATCCAAACACGCGCATGGCGGGAAGAGAGCTTATTACCGCAGTGAATTCTGGTGTCACAGGCCATGCAGAGGAAGGCGGAATCGGCGCGGCAGAACACGGCGGAGGCCGCCGATTTGCAGGAATCGCATGGCTTAGCAGCGACGCTCCACCCGCCACGTAAGCCCTTAAGGCCTCCTCTCTCAATCCCCATATGAAAGAACAAGTTCGAAGCTTCTGCGTCGGCAGTGATGAGAGTATTCGCTGATTGGGAGCGAATTGGAGATGGGGGAAGAACCTGCCACGATTTTGGGGCCTTTTGAATTGCGTTGTGTGGGGAGGTTGGGTTTGGTTTTCAATTATCTACCACAGTGACGAGTCTTAGAGAGGAAATCTAGGTGATGACGAATGAGGGGAGGACACGTGGGTGGCTGGCAGCCACATAAAAATCGCACCTTAAGACAATGAAATAAATCACAGAGTGGATATGTCGTGGAGAAGAGCGTGTGTGTGTGCGCGCATATACACACACACACAAATATATATAAGTAATATTATTATGAGTAGTTTAATACTAATATTAGGTGTCCTTGTGCTGGGTCTGTGCCGACGTGGACCCACCGAGATGGAGAGGGAGAGGATTATTATATGTACAGGAGATGAAACGGAAATTAACGTGAGAAAGATGTTGAAAACGGGATGAGGGTTAACTTCACAATTCACATGGGTTTCTCTGACCACTTCGTCCTTCCCCACTATTTAGTGTGTTGTTTTCTTTCAGTAATGATCAAATTCTGTAAGGTCTAAAATCGAGGAACTGAGTTACAAGATTCTTTTTTTTTTTTTTTGACCAGCACTGGGTTACAAGATTCGTTACAGGAATGCAATAATAATAATAATAATAATAATAATAATAATAATAATAATAATAATAAATGTAAAATGGATATGGATGGGGAAGAACACGCTTTCTTTCTGACACTAAGAACTGAGAAGTGGAGTCCCCCCTTATACCATATGAAACATGCCAAGAGAAGCAAGCGAAGTGTTTGATGTTGAAAAACAACAATTAATGAGATGGGAAATTTTCAAAGCGTCATTAAATTAGCAGAGACTTTAAATGAAGGGAGTACGGTGTGATTGACGAAACGGAGCAGGATAGGAGACTAGCGGTCAAAATAATGCATGTCACGAAATCGAAACAAACAAAACAAAACATGTAATTGATTAAATTCTCAGCCAGCTACCAGATAGATGGCGTAGAATAATTATGGTACACATATGTTTAGTAAGTAGGTAGTTATCCATAAAGCATGTTAGAGCTTGTTTGGTACTCCTTAACTTGCCTGCATATCGAAATACTAAGATAAAATTAATGAGACTTTAAATGAAAATAATCTTTGACAATGTGAATTAAATAAAAATCATTCATTCTATTCTTTTTATGAAGTGTCTTGTGATAAGAACAGAAAAATGAACATGGCATGAGGTGGGTTAAGGGAAAGAGTAGGTTTGGGGGGGAAATATGGAAGTAGGTTGTACAGTCTGAGTTAGAAGAAGGGAATTGGGAGGAGTAGGTTATAGATGAGGCGCGCACACAGACATATGTATGTGATAAAGTGCGATAAATAGAGATATTAATGGAGAATTGGTTAGGGCGGCTGAGGGGATAATAATGGGAGAAATGGAGGGTTGGCGGTACGTATCTGAAAATTTGGCACCAAGTTGGTTTTGGGATTGCGTCTCCCATATCCGCTCGTGTTCTGGTCATAATTAATCCTTGTGCCACAAAACTCTCCCTGTATAACTTTTGACAATTATATCTATCCCTGCCTTTCTAAAGTATTATAAAAGTTCGTAGGGTTTCTTTTAATTTGGAATTAGGCTAGCTGCAGTTTCATCTCAATTATATGGGTATTCAAAAAATTTTGTTGGATTAACATACTTTTTCGATTCAAAATGTAAGACCTTTACACTGCAAGACAAATATTACATTTAGAGTTAGAAGAATATCTCCGAAAGTGTTAAGAAGAAGTAATATCACTTTTTTTTTTGTAAATGGTCTCAAGGGGATATTATATTGATCCACACAAATTTTCGGATACATATGCTTCTTATGTTCGCAGCAAAATTAGACCCTAGCTTAATCTTTAGATATCAATCAATTTTGTTTCTTAAGTTTATAACTTCGCCCCAGATAATCCCCACTAATAAAGGAGCTCCTATAGAAGGATGGTTCTCGTACAAATGATCATTAAAAATAATATTTTTAAAAAAATCAATACACATTTTTATAAATAATAAACAAGTTAATTAACTTCTTAATGTCTATAAAATATCTATTGTGATCTTATATTAAGAATCAAATTAAAAGGATGATGTACACGATACTACCTCCAGTTTTTAATATAAGAGTTCATTTGATTTTTATTTTCATCCTAAATATAACACCCCAATCTATTTTGTCTCTCATATTTACTTATTTTTTTCTAAGGTGATCCCTATAATAATTGTAGTTTTAACTAATACATTTGAGTACCAAGGATATTAAAAAAAAATCTATTTCTTATAAATAACTAACTTAACTAGTTTTTTTAATCTACTCAAATTAATCAACTAGCTTTTATATTAAGGGGGTGTTTAGCTAACTCCAAAAGTGCTTTTTCACAAATCGAGACAAATTCCTCCATATATTTACTTCGTATATCATAAAAATACTTCTAAAACTATTATTTTTTTTCTTACCCAAACACTCCATAAGAAAGAGAGGTAGCATAACATGAGAACACTCTATTAAATATGAAAATTCTGTAAATTCCATTCAAACTCTCAAAATGGCATATTATTCCTCCTCTATTCAGTCAGCGTCTCTATCCTGCTGCTGTTCATTTTTCGCCTGGTCACGCGCACTCACTTGTTAAATCACTGATAGGATTATATCAAATTAATTGAATGAGGAGAGCACATAGTTGATATTATTATTTTCATAATCCAATAGGGCCACATTTATTGGGAGTTCTGTCCCCTCCAAAATTTAAATCATTTTCTTATATCAAAATGTTTGTTCTTGTTTATTATACCGGTCGAGGTGCGAGAATTGCACTATTCATTTTTTCCCCCCATTTATGGAGAACCAGTTTTTATTTCGTAATTTCCTGCAACTAGCTTTGTGTTTTCTTTTAAAGTAGTGTTTGGCTTCATAATTTAGTGAAGTTAGATAGTTCTGGCGTGCCAGATCTCCGGAAGCCGTGACACTTTTATATGTTATATCCCGTGTTTTGTTGTAATGATGTGTGGTTGTGTGTGTGTGTGTGTGTCTGTGTGCGCTTTTTGGGGCAAAATTAAATGTATGTGCTCTGAAGATAAGTTTTTTTCCCAGAGAAGTTATCGTGGCGCGCTGCGTAAATTAAAGTATTTTCGATAGAACCTGTTTACATTATTAATAACTGTAGACAAATTAACGGGAAATGAAAACTCGTTTATTTAAGCAGCTAAATTTTTAATTTTTAATTATTGTTGCTGGTTTCTTTAAGGAGTTCATCGTTTCTCTATTGCTATAATGATTTTTTTTTTATTTCATAAAAGTTACAGAATAAGAATGTCCATTTTATCTCATTTTTCAGGTAAAAAAAACATTTCTAATATAACTATTGTTAATATAAAACAATCGTAATATTTTCTTATTTTCTTTTATATTAATAAACATATTATTCAATATTTGAATATATAACTTAAATAAAATAATTACTCATAAACTTCATCTTAACATAATATAATATTTGTACCGTAAATACGATAAAAAAATACTTCTTAAGAAAATGACTTGATTCCACACAAAAATGACTTGATAATTGATAACGCTAAATTAAATAGACACGGTTCACCCAAAAAAATAAATTAAATACACAAGAATATAAAACTTAAAATTTTGAATTTTAGAAAAATTAGTTAACTTAGTTATCACTGTAATAAATAGATATTATCTTTTCTAAAATATTTATATCAATCATTGAAAGAAAACTTCTTAACATGTCTCTAATTATCATAAGAATTATTGGAGGCAAAATGAATAACTATTGGAAACAAAGTAAATTGAAACCTCAGATTCAAAATGACTTGAGAATATTTTGAATTATACCTAAAAAAGTGAATTGAAGTTTTGTATTTAAAATAAAATTTAATATTTAACTAGATTTTATATTACTAAATACATTCAAATTAGGATGTGGATACTATTTTAATACTACCTTCGGTCTCCAATACAAATGATGGATAATTAATTTAAAAATACTAAAAATATTAATTAAATTAGTTATTTGTATTGAATATATCTTAATCTTCCTAAAGTATTATTTTTAATTATATGAATTAGAATATCTTTCAATAAGAATCTTTTATAATCTCGGACTAAACTCAATTTATTAACGACAAAAGATGGTACTATTAATATATATAAAAAATGGGAGGTCTTTCAGAAGTCAGCGTCATAGCGTGCCGGATGTGGCACACTCTTACCGTGTCCACTTGCTGGCCCTCACGAGTGTCTTTGGGAACTTTCGGCAAACCCCTCTTACCTTTTTCCTCTTCTCTCTCTCCTTGTTTTTCTCATTACCGTCACAAAAATCTCCTTTCACCTTTGCCTTTTTTTTTTTTTTTTTTGCTTTTAGAAAAATAGAATTACTTCGTTTACTTCATCAATAACAATAAATATCCCTGTTTTTCTTAGTTTTAGTGAGATAAATATTTGTTCTTCGCACTCCCATTTTCTTATATATAAGGTATGGTAGGAAAAATTTAGACGGTCCAAATTAGAAGTCATTCATCCACGTATAAAAATTAGAGAAAAATTTATTTTGATACTAAATATAAAATTTTATGTCATTTTATCTTTAAAATTTATAATTTTTTTGAAACATCCCTATTGCTTACATATAGCAAGGAGATTTTCATTGAAATGTAATTATAATACACATTATTAAAATAATTACTTTAAAAAATAATATACATTTGTTATTAATAACTAATTTAATTAATTTTTTTAATTATATATAAATTGATATTTAGTTTTTATATTAAGCACAAGCGAGAGTATTAAAGTTCTTACTCCAATCATAATCCTCGATAACTTATGATGTAAGTTTTGTATTTTAAATTGAGGGTGAGAGAGAGGGCTTGTTCGACTGAATTTAGTATCATTCATTTAATGAAAGCATTTTAATCATTAAATGGGTTTTTTTTGGGCAAACAATATTAATTTGTGATTAATTTAACGAGTTCAACAGTTGTAATGCTCCTAGGATAATATAAATAACAATACTTACAT